GTCCGTTCCCGTGCTTAAGTTTTACCAGAAGATCTTATGGGCACATGTAAAATCGAAACTGCGAGATACCTCCAGGGGGTTCACTTGTTTATCACTTGCCAGATAAAGGCAAACGGAATGCATATTTCATACGCTTTTTAAATGAAATGTTCACTACATATATAAACAAGCTATTAACTACTGTTTGTATGATCTATGAATAATCTATCTACCAGTCGAATTTATATTTTGCTGCTGGGATCTGCAATATTTTCGCCATCTTTGTAAGCTGTGGTGTTTAATTTGTCACCCAGAATTTTATTTTTTTACATCTCTTTAGTGTTCCGATCGATCTAAGTATGCTTATTCATATATTCTTGATCTTTCAGATGGTGCTTTATTTGAAAAATATTTAGCTCTTCCTCCCTCTTTGTGGAATAGTGTTGGTGAATTTATTGCGCTGTAGACGTTTGGTCTTTCATGAACAATAATTGAATAGTATAAAGGCAATATGTTAGTAGTTCATTTAATTCTGCAGTGATAAACAGTGACTCTAGAACTAAACTTTGACTGATTCAGCCATCATATCGTATTTGTTCATTTTTTCGTTACCCAGTTTCCTATCTAAGTTCATCTTATTGCATGTAAGCTGTTTATTTTGTTAACATTCACTTTCAGAACTATAATTCTTTTCCAGGTCAGTCTCGTATGCACTTTAATTTTCTCCGGAATGGATGGTTTCAGGCAACTTTAACGCAATAATGATCTCTCAAAGATAGACTGAATTGTCCCAGAAGCTAGACCAACATATCTGGAACAAGAAATTAGTTAGTGTTGTACATGATGACCCTGAACCTACGGGCGATGCAAAAGAAACGAGTAGTGTAAATTTCCCGAATTCATGTTTAGAATGATCGATAAAACCGCAGAAAATAACAAAAATGCACATCTTCACAAGCTATATCAGCATTAATTTGCTAAAATTTTATTTGGCATCGGGCCCTTTTTTACTATGACCGTATGTGTTCTTTATTTTCAGCTGTCACAAAAGCTAGCGTATGGTGAAAATGTTTGCCTTATTTAAATGATCTCAAGAAATTGACTGATCGAATATGAATTATGAGTGAGTATTTGCGAAACCAATTTTGTCACTCAGGTTGGGTTATCTTAAAATTCGCTCAAACAAATTTAAATCGGAATAAAATTTCGCATTGTTGTGTTCTCCAAAAGTCGTCGCATCAAGGTCCGTTTCCAGTCCTAGACTCATTTTCAACACTTCACTGAGATACTACAAATTTTTTATCCATTCGTCTATTCGTGGTCTTGTTTCAGGTGCATTTCTTCTGGGATCTGGTAGCATCTTCATCTAGTTTTGTCGCCGTCACTATCGTTCTACGTTACTTAAGAAGGGCCGAAATAAGGTATTCAATAAGGGCTGATTATGTAGTGCTATAATAATAATATATTTATTCTCAAAAAACTACGTTACGAGAGTCACGCCAGTTTACGGGCCAGATCAAATTGTCAAAAATGCTTTCACAGTTACTGTAAAAGTTATAGAAGTTAAATTAAGTATAAGAGTCAGTTTCTGATGGCATATTTACACCATGTCACTGACAGAAACAATATAATACAGCCACATTTTCAATAGCAGATTACAATACTAGCTAAACTATTTTCTCAAAAAAGAGATAGATATATAAGTTGTCAATATGGACTGCTAACCGGTGAACGTCTGCTGCAGCTATCCCCATATGGCAACTATTTTTAACCTTTATACACTTTTGGCAAGGTAGTGTTCAGTATGCGATCTGGGAAGCCTTCACAGTAATTCAATCCGAGAATGAATCGTTAACTACTAGTCATTAATGCTGGGGTATCTGTGCATACGACTAACACTTTCTGGATAACTCATCTTTGCTGGTGATTCTTCGGTTTTTTAATTACAATTCTTTCAGGTCTTGGTGGCTAAGAAAACGAATTTCTGACGACTTCATAAGGGTGAATCGACTGTAATTACGGCTGCAAATTTTAGTTAAATAATGTCCAAATCTAACTAACAGTTCACTGGAAGGTTTAAGTAAGTACAGACTATATTTGTATGATGTCACGAAAATGGTGAGTACAGTTCCTACTTGCTTTTAGAAACGACTTGATTACAGTCACAAGTTTCCATAAGTTTATTACAACTACCTGGTCAGTTTGAGAAAGCTTGGAATTTAGAGTGCTTTGGGGTTATCTGTTGAGGAAGTATTTAGCTGAGTAGTTTGTTGGTAGCATGAAATGCTACAGATAACTCATTAGGATGATATCAAATAAACACCCCTGTCCCTTGTTTCATTTGAGCAGTGAGGTTAATCATGTTCTATAATCTCATTATTCTTCTTTAATTTAGTCATCCACAGCATTTAAAAATAGCATTAAGTTCAGGAATTACAACTGTTTAGTACAGGCATGAGAAAGCCCTTGACACTAAATGGGACAGCCAGAGAGCTTTTGCAGGTGTGATTCAGTATGACATACTGATATGAGTTTATAAAATTGAGGAAAAGTTGGACGGATTTAGACTGGTGATTATAGTTTAAAGAAGGCCTGCAACTGGTTGAGTGGACCCAAGTAGTAAAAATAAATAACTCGTTTTAGTTCTCAGAAACTGGAACTGCTAAACAAGCGTTACATAAACTAGGATGTGGGCGATAAATGTAGACAGTACACAAGATTTTGTTTGACTATCAAGGATGAATTGCTCGTTTACACTCAGTGGGCCAATCTCGTTTCTCGGGTACTTAGAACATGTAGATACAGATACAGACACATAGTATATACTTATGTACTAACTAAAAGGTTTTTTCATTAAAACTATCAATTGAATTTCATATTTTAACCAAGAATGCTGTTGAATTAAACTATTTTTATCCGCGGTATCGATTCGGATCAGCTGGTCTGTTTATTGTGTTTATAAGCTTAGTGATTCTCGGAAGCATTGTGGAAAAATCACCCGAATGGAATTCACCACCCTCCATCAACTTCACCGATCACAAGATAGCATTAGATAGCGTCGACAGGAAAACATTATGGAGGCTTTATCACTACGACAGCGTGCCTGAGAAGATAGTTAACATCATACGGAATTCATAGGATGGATCCAATTGCAAAATCGAACACGATGGACAGCTAACAGACTCTTTCGAGGTGAAGACCGGTGACAGGCAAGGTTACTTACTCTCACCCTTTCTCTTTCTCCTGGTGATCGACTGGATTATGAAGACGTCAACATCTGAAAGGAAGCACAATATGTAGTGGACAACGAGGATACAACTGGACGATCCGGACTTCGCAGATGATCTGCCTATTATATCGCACACACAACAACAAATGCAGGGGAAGGCGACCAGTGTAACAGAAGGTCTCAACACATATAAAGGGAAAAGCAAGAATCTTCGATACAAAACAACATGCAGCAATCAAATCACACTTCATTTAGATGTCTTGGAGGACGTTAACACCTTTACATATCTTGGCAGCATCACTGATGAGCAAGGAGCATCTGATACAGATGTAAAGGCGTGGATCGGCAAAGCAAGGACTGTGTTTTTACAATTGAACAGAGTCTGGAACTCAAAACATCTATCAACAAACACCAAAATCAGAATTATCAATACAAATATCAAGACTGTTCCACTATATAAAGCGGAAACTTGGAGAACTACAAAAGCCACCACCCGTAAGATACAAATATTTATTAACATTTGTTTACGCAAAATACTTCGGATTTGTTAGTCGGACACTATCAGCAACAACTTACTTTGCGAGAGAACAAACCGAATTCAAGTGGAGGAAAAATCAAGGAGGAGCTCCGGAAGTAGAAAGGACACACTGCGGAAAGTACCCAACTGCATCACAAGACAAGCCTTCACCTGGAACCCTCAAGGCTAAAGGAAAACAGTAAAACCGAAAGACATATAATTCTGGGCAACAGGTACACACACGTAAAAAACATTTGTCAAGAGGACACTATGGATCCCTAACGTGAAAATGGCAGAAATCTTTCATGCTTACATCGCCGACCATTTAAATGTCAAGTAATATGAGTGGTAAAACACTCACTCGCTCTCTTATCTTCAAAGGCGAAAATTGACAAGATTCAGACTGTTACAGACCGGTTACCATTGCAGGTAAAGGAAGGACTGACCATTGATAAAATTTGAAAAACAAGTGCAGAATCAGTTTCTTCCATGAAGCCTATCAAGGGTTTTAAAATGGAAGTTTCTGTTCGCTGAATCTTTACACAGAATAGAAGGGCTAAACGAATAGTCAGGGATAAAAGTTTCACTTTGTTTTCACCAGCTTTGCAAATCATTGACATGGTACTGCACACTCCGTTAAAAAAAGAATGGAACGACGAGTTGCACTGACCCATTTTATTATGACTATATGCTGCACTGTTAGGCTTAACGATTAACCCTTTTCAACACTTTACATCTAAAATTTTGGTTCTGGGCAATCTCTCACCTAATTGGCAGTTAATCCTTTCTGGAATGCATCCTTGACGAACTAACTTTGGGGATGTTGATGTATATCTTCACTCGGAGGCATGATAATCACATACTTAACCATGGATTTTAATCTCCTGCATGAATTATCTGTATGTGGCGTGTGTCTCCTGATATACTATCCTTATAATTACCATGCATCAAATACTTATTCCGATGTCGTCTGTTATCTGCGACGTGTCCTCTTGTATATTTATTTACTGCCCCAGATAACCATTCTCTCTTAGCTTTTTCTTTTTCCAATTTTCACTTCATTATTTTACACATGGCAATGAATTACTCTCCTGTCTTTCAATACCTGCTGGTATCCAGAATCCCTAATATCCTGAGACAAATGGACCGAACCAGTTTATAAGATGTATAATCGAGTGGTTCAACTACTATCTAAGACTTTAATTAGTACTGAGAAACCAGGAAACAAGTAATAGGAGATCAATCACTTCATACATACTCGTAACATTGGATATTAAATGTGACTGGAGTGAGGTTTGTTTTAATAAGTACTGCTAGTAGGTCCGCGTTGCACGAAATCTGATCACGAGGTGGAGAGATGACAAACACTAAGGGGTATCGTCGGGGTACGCGCTACCTATTCTCCCGGAAATTCCGACGACATGGCCAACTCCCGTCTTCGGTTTATATGCGAGTGTATCGACGTGGTGATATTGTGGATATTAAAGGAGATGGTGGTGTTCAAAAAGGTATGCCACACAAATCATACCATGGTCGGACCGGTCGTGTTTACAACGTCACTCCACATGCTGTTGGAATAATCGTTAATAAACGTGTTGGGTAGATTGTATTGATCCAAATTTCGCATTTATAGTAATCGCATAATTCCTAAACGGATCAATGTGAGGATCGAACACGTGAAGCCTAGCAAGTGCAGAGAAGATTTTCTCCGTCGTGTGAAAGAGAATGATGTGAAAAGGCGTGAAGCAAAAGAAAAGAACGTGTTTGTTCAACTCAAGCGACAGGTAACCGTAAACACTAATTCTACTTATGTCTTAGCCTGCTCAACCAAGGGCAGCTCATATAGTGAAGACCAAGAATAATCCCGTAGTTACAGTCCATCCACTGCCTTACGAACTGATTGCTTAAATCGAATAAAGTTATTGACGGTTTGTATTTTTTTATTTTCTCACGTGCCTGAATACATCGTATCGTCCTAGAGAGTTCGGCTGATTGTGTCAAGTTGATTGGTATTTGTGCTTCGACAAATTCATTAATTCGATATGCACGCGGGCTAGATTGAAGAGAGTAGTGGCATATTATCAACAACTGCTCGAAGGATCACAGTCAGTTGCAGCGCAGAACCTTCCACGTGCGTACATCCTGGGCAAGCGATCGTCGTTTCAAATATAGCAGAATCGGAGGTTAAGGAGAATATGGAACATCAGATATGTGAATTTACAATCAAAAGACGGTAAAAAAATCGAAAGGGGGACATCCTTAAAAATCCAGTAAATTAGAAAATAGACGAATAGTGGGTGTATCTGCACAAACTATTCAAGTCATTCACAGTCCACCAAAGTCGGTTACTGTTTTCCCGCAGGCTCACACTGTGTAGTTTACACCTACAAGCATGGCTGAGTTAGGTTGTCAAAAGTTTCGTGTAGTTAGGCCGTTATGTTAATGGCAGCATCCCCTTGCATCACGAAACATCGCTCATCAGTGCAGTTGGTAGTCGGGCATTCGTTTCAGTCACTTCAACTAACGGTAGTTTCACTATCTTTCTTTTTGGTCTGCCATCCTTACTTAGTTCCATTTCCCCAACACAAGCATTGCTCACTCGATGGTCTCGGTTTTTATGAGCTAGACTTAGATGGTCGAATCACAGTAAACCACAAGTATTCTCTGTTATCACTGGCCGTGTTTCTCACGGCTACTTTTCGGATCTACAAGTTTACCATTGTGCATAGTTTGAGTGGTTCAAAAACATCGAAGTTCCTCGTAACAATGTTTTAGCGTTTGAAAAAATTAATAAATACGAAGATTGGGAACGATTGAATCCTTCATTTCTATATGACTTCGTACGTCCTCTATGGAAGAGGAATAGAAGGTATCCTGTTACGTCTTTCTTTGCTTGTAGACTATAGATTTATGGGAAACTAAACGATTTCAATCGAGTAAGCATGGTTAGTGTAATTGACAGTTGACATATTTTGAAGTCACCTATTTCCTGATAGTAAATACCAAAGTAGATCGTAGAAACTTTTTAAGCAAGAGCAGCTAGTCCTACCGTCCGTCGACAATAGCGCATTTATTCATCTGAACCGTGTCGTATATCTGTTTATAATAAAATGTATGGATGGATGACACCCTAAGTGATTAAAATGGATGCTGAACTCAGTGAAACTCAACTTGCGATGGTTGCGTTTCATAATTTTAACTGGTTGACTTACTAGGGTTTGGCCGTCGAAAAACCAACAAATCAGCTTTTCTAATAAGTTATCCAGGCTTCCTTATGCTGTCAAGCGAAATCACAGGACGATTGTTAACTATAACAACGAAACGGTGATCTGACGATGTTTTAGAAATGGTCTGAACTCTTACTCCGAAATTAAGTGTTGTACGAGTTTCGGTCGCGGAACTTCGGACTAAAATGAAAGGATGAACAGCTCAGTTAGATTTAATTATCGAGAGATTATGTTTATGGCTAGCTGTTCGGTATCTTTTTTTAATTCGAAGTCTTCTCATTCGCTTTGCTGCTATCAACCGCTACTCACTAATAAATAACTAAAGCATTTAATTTATATGTATCGTGTCCTAGGTTATGGTAATTATTATGTTATGATAAAGTGAGTGTTCTCGTCACAGTGTTTTAGTGGACTATCTGGTTGGAGAGTTCTCTGATTTTGAGAAGGTAGAGAAAATTAGTTGCTCAGGCAGATGATTATGGCCAAGTTGTGATCTCTGGGCTAGGTGTTTTGGTCGTAGACCTTTCACTGAGATTCGATAATGCTCTGAACAGGTACGAAATCTCAACGATACACATGGTGCACACGTCAAAATTCCACCATGAGCTCGTTACTATAGATTATCAATCCCTAGTTTGAACTACCATCCTAGTTAGAGATGAGTTTACTAGGAAAGGATTGGTGTTCAGGATTCTTTTAATATTTTGAAAAAGCGACAATCGAATTTTGGTACCTTACCAGACGTATTCCTATTGAGTAGGCTTAAACAGCGTCTAGGCATTATATTGAAATTTGTCATTTACGAGGTTTACGTTGTAAATTGATGATAACGAAAGTGAGCTCTGTCCATCAGTAAGTCAGGTAGACAGATGCAATGTAGAACTTCGTACGTATGTACATCAGTTCAGGTTGCAATGCCCCATCGGCACAGAGACGAAACTGTCAGTTCAAATCCAACAGTGATAGCAATGATAGATGTATCAGCAGTAATGGAGGAGATGTGATTCGAGGAGTATAATTCTGTAAGATAAATTTAGAAGGAGAAAGGTAGAGATTATGAGGAATGCAGAAGCTTAGAATTTCATAGAACACAAAGAGTTGATGCACCTGCGCCATTGCAAACGATTCTGAGCCATGTCGTTCAAGGTCTCTATCCATCGGTGACTATCGTCTCGCGGACCCCAACCAGGTAGCCTACATCTACCAACATGACTCAGTCCACTTGTCAGTGACTTCATGCATTTCTGCCATGTTTTGGTTTGGCCGCCCCTAGCTTTTTTCCAACCTACTCCTACACTGCAAAACATAGCTCGTTGCAAAAGTCGGTGGTTAGCCATACGTAACACATGTCCCAACCACCTCAACTGATGAAGTTTCACTACTTCATCTATTGATTTGCCATCCCTACCTAGAATTCGTTTACTAACGACAGCATTGCTCATACGGTTGTCCCATGATACACGAGCAATGCTTCGGAGACATCTATGATCAAATACTAGTAACCTACGAACATCTTCTACTCTTAACGGCCATGTTTCGCATCCATATAGGAGAATGGAGCGAACTGCTGCGCAGTACACCCGTCCTTTGTTCAGCGAACGGATATCTCGCCTACGCCATAAGTGACGCAGGTTGGCAAAAGCCAATCGAGCTTTCTGTATCCGTGCTGAGATTTCGTCAGTCACCAGGCTATCAGCGCTGATGAGACTTCCCAGATAAGTGGAGCGATCAACACGCTCGACTACTTCACTCCCTATCACTAGTTTAGATGCCAATGCAACCCAATCTTGAAGCAACATTTTGCATTTCGTGGTGGGAAACCTCATCCCGAACATGCTCGCATTGTCGCTTAGGGTGGTCAGAAGACTGCATTTTGTCAGCGTCTTCACCAAGTAGAACTACGTCATCAGCATATTTTAAGTCGATAAGCGAGCTTCCTGGTAATAGGTCTACTCCTGAAAATTCAGACGAGGATAAGGTTATATCTAGGAGCATGTCTATGATAAAATTAAACAAGAATGGAGAGAGTGGACATGCCTGACGGACACAACTTGAAGTAAAGAATGCCGGTGACAGTTCGCCATAAGCTCTCACTCGACCAGTGGTGTTCGAGTAGATAGCTTGTATAAGGTTAATGTACTGCTTTGGTACACCTTTCAATGATAGACACTGCCACAGAACCTCACGATCCACTGAATCAAATGCCGCTTTTAGGTCCAGGAAGACAACTATTGTAGGACGCCTGAATGTGTGTCTATGTTCCAGGACCTGTCGTAGTGAGTAGATGTGGTCTATACAGCCACGTCCGGGTCTGAAACCTGACTGGTTTTCTCGAGTCTACTCCTAACGAACTCTAGTTAGACGTCTAAGTATAATCGAGGCTAACAATTTAGAAACTATATTAATTAGACTTATTCCCCTGTGATTGTCACAAGAAGACTTTTGTCCTTTCTTATAGATTGGGCCAATCAGTGATTGAGACCAGTCGGATGGGATTGTGTCCAGTTCCCATATTCTATCTAAGATCTCAGTCAACCTAGCTGCTAAAACTGGACCACCATCCTTAAACATCTCAGGGGTAAGCCTATCAGGACCTGCTGCTCTACCTCCCTTTAGATTTCCTATTGCTTTCTCAACTTCAAGCAGACTAGGAGGACTTAAATCGATTTGCCATTCAGGATGACTGGGGATCGTGGGCAACCGAAGTGTGGCTCGAGGCCAGTTGAACTGGTCCATAAAGTGTTCTGCCCATCGGTCCAATCTCCTGGATTGAGAATAATTAATAGTCCCATCATTTTCCGAGATAGTCTCACTTAGAGTAGGATTCCTAATACCAGTTTCCTTGATAAGTCGGAAAAGTTGTCTACTGTTGCTGATCGCCGCTGCCTTTTCCATCGCTTTTGCTTTCGCCACCCACCACTGTTCACTATCGTTACATAGGCTTTTTATAAGTCTGCGCATAAGCTGACTACGCTCTTCATCATGTTCAGAGTCAGGTGGGATGCATTTTCGATCATCCATCACTTCGTTTGGTGGGAATGAAATCCGCGGCTTCATTCTAGCCTTACGCTTAACCTTACTAGCAGATATCACTGCTGTTTCCACAAACTTTCTGATATTTAGTTGCACTTAGTCTAACTACTTGAGCAATAAAGTGACTAGCAATTATTACTACATTTGAGCGCCTAGCATTTCGGGTGAGGTCTGAAAGCTTTCTGTGAATATCACCTTTTACTTCTCGGAACTTCAGTCAATGGGAGCATAGGCAACGACGGGTGTCTCTATCTTTCGTAGTCCTTACTTTCCCGTTCAGTCGGACAGCTCACAAACGACCGTCTACTAGGATCTAGTCTAGGAGAGATAATTCTGACCTAGGACTCAATGCTTGAGGCCGGTCACACACGGCCTTTTTGTGAAAAGTTTTTTGACGATTAGCTCCACTCTGGAAAGCCCTTAATTGGCACCCTTACCGCCGGAGACGGAAATCCGTGAGTTAGGGTGAGATGTGAAATTTTAGTGTCGACCTTTTCTAACCCTACTTTCCTTGTGAGAAGGCAGCATCGCTGCAGACGCTGGTTGTCCGAGGGAAACACCTTACTGCTGTCACACCCCTCTGCAGTCAGCAGTACGAGTTCACCCTCAGACCTCGGGTTTCTGCTTTTAGTTTCATCGTTCTCCGATTGACCTGCCTGGTATGATAGAACCTACAGAAACATATGTTCCAGCTAATATAGCTCGTTTGCGTGGTCACGATAGTCAAGCCCGACCACCACGTCAAGGAAGATGCCGCGGTCGTTTGTCCAACAGTGAAATTAGTAGTTACGGACAAAGTTACACTTAGTAGTAGAGTAGCAAGATTTTGTTCGTTAGGAGCAACTTATTATAGTGTATCGTTTTATTTTTTGAGTGCTCTTTGAAGGGGTTTGTTGCCTAAGTGGTCAGAAGACTTTATTTTTCAACGTCTTCAACGAAAAGAGCTGTCATCGGCATATTCTCAATCGAGGAGCGAATATCCTGGCAGAAGATTCACCCCTGTAATGACGGTTCGATATAAGCTCTAACTCTATCAGTG